CAGTGTCATGCTTGATCACGTTATTCACATATCTCACATCTCTTTTTTTTAAAAGCCTACTCAGTTTTTGGCTCGACAATATTGCCATCAGATGAGCTATGCACAAAAACATGCCTCCTTCCATCACTTGCGTTTTCAGCATTCCCCTCTTCACTTCGTTTGCTGCCTTTTTCTACATTTAAAGTTCTGTTTTCCCCTTGGCCAGCATATATTTTAGGGGGGATGCAGTATCTGTGGTGCTTAAACAGGCAGAAATTGTGTACTTTTTTTTCCCCATCATCGCTGAAGGATTTAGGTCACATTCCAGAAGGACAGCTCATACCTCAGTAAAAAGCTAGGCAGGAACTGGGGAGGCAGAGAGAGAGAGAAAGAGAGACAGAGAGAGAGAAAGAGAGATGTACACAAAGCACACTTTTGGCAACAGCCTGGCTTGCATTTCTGTGTTTCTCTCCTGTCACTCTTTATTACCTAGGACAGTGGCACAGAGGCAGGGTGCCTAAGTGCTTTTGCGCCCCTGCTGTTTTTATCACACTAGAAGTCACAACCTTGTTTTCGAAATAATCGTTTCCGCAAAAAAACCCATCAGGAAGTCATGCAGGAAGGGCAAGGGGACTTGAAAAATGCCCACCATGAGCCCGCTTCCCCTTTACAGTGCCAGTCTGCAGCCTGACTGCCAGCTTCGCTTCTTAGTTTCCACAGCAGAAGTTAAAATTGGGAGTGATTTAACATTCCCAATTTAGCTCCGGCAAGCCTGAGCTGAAAGCTGTAACTCAAGCAGCACTCCCTGTGTGCACCAGAGGCATGGCTCTCTCACACAGCATACTAATGTCGCTTACTTCGTAGCAGTCTCTTGCAAAAAAACCCCCCCCAAACCCATGAACTTTTATTTGCAATTAATTTTAGTTACTGTTTGGAGATTGACATTTATTGGAAACTAGTAAAGTGTCCATCACTACGACGGGGGTGGGTGGGGGGTGCATGTATGAGTGATGTATGTAAGCAATGCAGCAGGGCCGGTATACTGCAAGGACCCTTGGGAAGACTCCAGTCAGGGTAGCACAAGGCCATTCAGTATCGAGATGGGAGTGAAGGCAGTTCTTAGTCCCACCTCAGCTGTGGCCCCAAGGGCACCACTCTGCTTCACACACACACACACACACACACACACACACACACACACACACCCAGGACTGTCAGTCGCAGGGCTCTTTTTGTAGCAGGAACTCCTTTGCATATTAGGCGACACACCCCTTAATGTAGCCAATCCTCCAAGAGCTTACAGTAGCCCCTGTAAGAAGAGCCCTGTAAGCTCTAGGAGGATTGGCTACATTAGGGGTGTGTCGCCTAATATGCAAAGGAGTCTCTGCTACAAAAAGAGCCCAGAGAGAAACAGCACTTGAGAAAAAATTCAGATATAGGACTAGTGGAAACGAAGTCTCCCACTACATGGGAAGATTTCCTGGCCTGGACACCTCCCCCCATTTCCCACTGTTGATCAACTGGACGAAGAGGGGTGTGAATGGAGGGGCTGTCTGGGGTCACAATTAACTTCCAGCACAGAACTGGAAGTGATACCATTGCATGAGGGAGCTGCACTAGGGCTCACCCAAAACTCTATGATTTAACTATAGAGTTTTTAGGGAATCCTAGAGCATTGCCCCAGCATGATGATGTCTCCTGCTTCTGTGCTGGAAGTGATGGCATGCACCGCTGCAGCATCAAAGATCTTGCCCCTCCAATCTCCGACCAGGGTGTTAGGTACAGCCGGCAACCCTAGACTGGACTGTGCCATGCAACTGTCATGACAGAACTTTTTACTTAACGCAGTTCGGTTTGCATGTGAGCTACTATAAGATTCAAAGCTGATTTTAGGAGACGATGTATGCAGCTCTCGACAACTGGCCAATGAAAATGTGTTCGCATTCTGGACATACTGTAGTTTCTGAACAATGTTCACGGACAGGCCCATGCAGGGCTTATTACAGTAATCCTAAAGGGATGTCACTAGGGCATCAGTCATGACAACAAGGTCCCTGGTTCCTACGAAAAGCTGCAGCTAGTACTAAGCATGGGAGGGAAGAAGAACTCCTCATGACCTCTGCAATCTAAGGATCAAGCAAGGGTTGTTCCCACAAACTCCCCCAAGTTGAAAACTGATCCTTCAGGAGATTTATGCCTCTGTCCAGAATCGACTGTGTACCTACCATCAACATTTCCATCTTCACCTAGACTGATTTTCAACCTACTGGTAACACCACTTCCCAGACAAACCACTCAGGGATTCTCAGGGGTCATTTCGTAGAAAAAGAGGTGCAGGAGCTCATTAGCATATCTTATTAGCATAACTTATTTGCATATGCCACACCCCCTGACATCACCGGAAGTGCGTCAGAAGGCAACACCCACCGCTCAGGCTCCACTGGACTGTTTTGGATTGCTAGCTATGGGGGGGGGGGACGTGCAGATCTGCCCTCACAGAGGAGGGAGAGCTTGTACCTGAATAAAACTTGGTCTTAAAGGTGCCACTGGACTGTTTTGGATTGCTAACTATGGGGGGGGGAACACGCAGATCTGCCCTCACAGAGGAGGGAGAGCTTGTACCTGAAAGCGGGCCGGTGGGGGCTCTGCAACTTACCTGGCTGCTTCTTGCTCCTCGTGGCCCAACTGAGGGCAGCTGGGAGCAGGGAGCGGGGCTTGTTGCATGTGCCCGCCCCCTGGGCTCATTACCGCCGGAGCGCCGCTCCTGTGCGCTCCCGCAGGAAATGACTCCTGGGGATTCTACTGATTTTAGGATTCCACTGCCTCAATTTCACATCCTATCTAGTTCACGTGCATTGGATTTTATGTGCTTTGGGGCAAAACTCACAGTGCCAGCTGATACCCACCCTGTCCAGGCTAGCCCAATCTTTTCAGATCTCAGAAGATAAGCAGGGTCAGCCCTGGTCAGTAAAGAAGTCCAAGCAAGCAATGGCAAACCACCTCTGAAAGCCTCTTGCCTTGAAAACTCTACGGGATCACCATAAGTCACTAGTGACTTGACAGCAAAAAAAGTGACACCCCAGAGAACTTTTAGCTGTCTAACCCTACTTTTATTTCATTAAAACCTGCTTGAAGTATCTTCTTGCTGCCACTTATTGTATTTGCAGTCTTTCGGGGTCCAGCTGCACACCCAAGTTATGATCCTGCTCTTCTGAGGAGTGCAACCCCCTTCAGGACAGGACAGGACAGTGGCACCTTTAAGACCAAGTTTTATTCAGGTACAAGCTCTCCCTCCTCTGTGAGAGCAGCTTCACCACTGACCAACAATACCCCGGTCCTGCCTGGACTGGGTTTTAGTTTATTGGCCCTCGTTCATCCCATTACCATCTCCAAATACCATTTAAGGAAATAGAGCAGAGTGTCATTGGCATACTGGTGGCATCTGCTCAAAGTCCCTTGATGATCCCTCCCAGCTCATCATGGGGCTGAGCAGCAGTTCCCCAGCACCACCTTCTTGAATCGGCCAGTCAACAAAGAATGGAATCACTGAAGAATAGTAAACACCCCCCCCACACACACACACACACTCAACTAGATTTTCAAGAAGGATACCATGGTCAATGGTATTGAATGCTACAGGGAGGTCAAGGAAAATCAACAGGGATGCACTGCCCCACCAAGTCTCCCAACAGAGATCATCTGTCATGGTGACCAGGGTCATTTCCACCCCAAACCCAGGCCTGAACCCAGATTGAAAGGAGTCTAGATAATCCATCTCTTCCAAGGCTGCCTGAAGCTGGATGGCCACCACTTGCTCAAGCAACCTTGCCCAAGACTGGACTGTTGGCCACCAGGCAGTAGCATCTTAAGTCAGTGAGGTCCAGGGATGACGTCTTCAGCAGGGGGGTCTCATGACTGCCTCTTTGAAAGCATTTGGAACCACGCCCTCCTGCAGAGAGGCATTTATTACCTCCTGGACCCAAGTGTCCAATCCAGCCCAGCTTGATACCAAGAGCCATGAAGGACAAGGGTTGAGTCTAGATGTGGTAGGCCGTAAGTAGCTAGTCCTACTCATTAGGCCTTAACAGATGAAAGTCACAATTAGGACAGGACTGCATTCTAACGGCATCCCAAGACTGATTTGCACCAACTGGGGAATCGAAGTTACGGTGGATGCCAGCAATTTTATCTGCAAAATGCATCACAGTGAGCCTGTGTGTTTTCCAGGTCTACATTCTCAGGAGCCTGTGATAAAAGCCCTGCCACAACCCAGAAAAGCTCTGCTGGACAGCATTGTGTGGATGCAATGGTGGCAGAAAAGCAAGCTTGCTCTGTTCCCATCGCCACCACAGAGTAGGCGTGATAATGTGTTCATGTGAAATACAAAACCATTAATCAACCTTGGCTCACACACTTCCACACTCTCATGCACCAATTCCATCACAACCTTTCCGGTTCTCAGCACATCCTAGTTCTCCCAGTTCAAATAAAACAGCAAACTATGGTTTGCCATAAATCAGGAAATAATCAGGGCATGGGAGGGAAGGAAGGAACACTTTAGGCTGATGCTTGCCCACATAATGCCAATCCAAGGTTTAGCATTATATGAGCAAGCCAAGCAAGGTTCCTTGAGCACACTAGAAAGGAGACTGACCAGTTCAGACATAACCCTCTCTAGTATGCTATTTATTTATTATTTATTGTATGGCATCTCTAGCATGCTCACTGGAACGATACCAAGAATTTAGCTTGCTCTCAGCCCAGCCTACTTCACAGGACTACTTGGACCACCCTGTTTTATCCTCATGCACTCTTTGAAGGAGGAGATTGGATTTATACCCCGCCCTTCACTACCCGAAGGAGTCTCAGAGTGGCTTACAATCTCCTTTCCCTTCCCCTCCCCACAACAGACACCCTGTGAGGTAGGTGGGGCTGAGAGAGCTCTTTCGAGAACTGCTTGTGAGAAAACAGCTCTGAAAGAACTTGTAACTGACCCAAGGTCACTCCAGCAGCTGCATGTGGAAGAGTGGGGAATCATACCTGGTTCTACCAGATTAGAGTCCACGCTCCTAACCACTACACCAAACTGGCTTTCTCAGTTCTTGGCTTCCATACTTGGAGGAAGTACAGAACACAAATAAAAAACAAAAATAAACATCAAGATTTTTAAGCAAGCGCACAGGGTGGCAGGATCTGTGGAAGCCCTGAACAAAGGAATGGGATCGGTGAGGGCCAATAAAGAGAAGCTTGGACAAGACAAGACTGAAGTATTGCAGATTAGTGCTTGAGGACTGAGGAGTCAGCTTGTCCTGGAGGGGGCTGCACCCCTCTGAGGGAGTAGGTTTGTGACCTGGGGATACTGCTCAATCCTGGCCTACAGTTGGCCCCCAGGCCTCCTCTGTGGCACGCAGTGCCTTTTACAGCTCTAACTGGCTCAACCAGCTATTCCTCAAAAAGCATGATACCGGGCTATCTCTGAAGGCTGCCCAGAAACTTCAGCCAGTCTATTATCAGGGACCGGATACAGGGACTGTTTCATTCCTGTACTGAAAGACCTATAGCGGCTGACAGTCCATTTCTGGGAACGATTCAAAGTGCTGGTTCTTACCTTAACATCCCTAAATAATTCGGGGCCAGGGCACATGAAGGACTGCCTCCTACCTTACTATCCAATCTGAAATCCTCTTCACAAGATCTGCTCTCTGTCTTACTACCTGCAGAAGTGAGGCTGGTAGCAACAAGAGACAGGGCTTTGTCAGCAGTGGCACCTCATCTGTTAAGTCCCTGCCCCCTTGAGGCTCCACTGGCAATCTACTTCTAGCCCGAGGATTGTTGTGGGGATCTTTAGCATAGATGGTTTATGTTCTAGGTTTTTACTGGTTTGATTTTATGATTTTATCTAGTTTTAGTTTGAGCAGGTCTCTCAAGAAGCACCACACACATGTTTTAAGCAAAGATTTTCAAATTCAAGTTTTCACATTCAAAAAAAGAATATTGCAGAGGAGGTCAACAGACTGACAAATATGTAGCTTGGCACAGTCATTCCAAAGCTAAACAAGTTATAATTACCTTAAGCTAGTCAAACACGCAGGCTTACACAGCCTCTCCATCGGCTGATTATGTATCCTGATTGTGCCCATCAGCACAGAACAAACTATTCAACCTCAACTTTTTGAAGACCACACAGATCATGTTTACAGGAGAGAAAATTAATTTCCTTTCCATGCAAAGCACTGACTGCTTAGCAAAGCAAAAAATATTTTTTTAATTCCACCTGTGTTCCAGGGAATCACGGGGTTCCCTGAAAGGTCTTTGCATAATGAAAAAATCAGTAGAAATTTCTTTAGAAAACTGCATGCTTACCCTTAATGAAGCTAGCACAGACAGGGGAGGGTCCCCCCCCCCTATGGAAGCAGTGGCAAGCAGGGCAGAGGTGGATGGTGACTCCTTCTACACAGTCTCATCCCTTCCACCCCCACCCCCTTGAAAGCACCAAGGCAGTGACAATGGCAGCCCCCTGCCAAGCATGCCCCGCCGTTGGCTCCATCTTAAAGGGGCCTCACAAAATCTGTGTTTGGAATGAGCACAAAGTCATATGGAGACTTCCCCCAAAAGGGGGCATCCTGATACCCACAGGGGGTAAGATTCCCATGTGGAAACCACCAGCTTGGGGGTGGGGGGAAGGTAGTGCTTTATTTGACTATACCCTAGAAAGTGTCCCAGAATCCCCTGTGGTACATGAGGGATCCAAAGTGGATTCTTGGGGAGTTTCCTGGCCAACAAGTCAGTGTGGAAACCATCAAGGGAGAAAGTTAGAAAGCTGCTGTTTGGTAGCATGCCTTTTGAAGAGTCCTGTATCTGAAGAACTGCTCACGTAGGGCTTTGAATGCAAAGGAAAAAGCCATTCCCAGAACTGTGCCAGTTGTAATGTGCTTTTTACCACTTACTAGGACATCTTCAGCAGTTCATTAGTCTCCGGCTTCCACACACCTCTCACCAACTGTTCAAAGTTAGATATTAGGCCACCGCCAGCTCCTGACAATTCAATGGGGAAATATATATATATATAACATGAGTAAACTGGTTCAAAGAGGTCTTCCATAACTCGATCCTGCTTATAGTTAGGCCAACTGCAAAGTTGTCACACTACTTTCAGTGGGAACAGGATACACCCCTCAAGCTATATACGTGAACACAATGACCTACTTTGCAGCTGCTGAAATTGGATCCTCAATTTGAAACTCCTTAGAAAGCATCCTATTACCAGAGAGCAAGCCCTAATATTTTAGGGGGGGGGGGGGATTCAGGCAGATTCATTTTCAGCTCTGTCAAAGATGAACAGTGGAAAAGAATAGAGGCAGCCAACATCCCTTAGCACTCAGAAGTTTAGAATTCATAGAATTCATTTAGCAAGAAACCAGAAAGCTTCAAAAGAGTCACCCTTAAACCTTCCTGGAATGAGAGGCAACCCCAAAGTCGCAAACACAAAATTGTCTTATTAGGCACGCTGTGTCAGCAGTGTGCACAAGGTAGAGATGCCGGCCCCCAAGTGGGACCTAAGGAACCCCCGGAATTACAGCGCATCGCCAGGATACAGAGATCGGTTCCCCTGTAGAAAATGTATGCTTTGGAAGGTGCACTTGATGGCACTGCACCCCACTGACATCCCTGTCCCCTCAGGCTCTACCCCCAAATCTCCAGAAGTTCCCCAACCTGGATCTGGCAACCCTACCTACCATTCCCCACTGGTGGCCGGGGGGGGGGGGACTTGGCGACCCTACCACAAGGCCTGTATAGTAAGTGTCAGCAACTGGAGGTTGCTAGACCAAATCCAGCCCTGGGAGGGACTGTGCCTCCAACCCTTTGCCAGTTTTAGAGGTGAAGAGGAGAGGGAAAGTCTGCATTGACAGGACTAGTTCACTTATGGGTAGGGGGGAGGGATCAAGGCCCCATCGTAAGGGCTAGACAGACTAGGGGGTTTTTTATAGCACTTTTTGACAACAACAAAAAAACCCTCCCAAAGTGGCTCACAGGTTAAGAAGAGAAATCAAGACACTAAAATTAATTCAGTGCCACCTGCTAAAAACACTTCAGCAGCAGCATAATCAGGCTATAAAACATTAGCTTTCAGTCCCCAGAGCTCAGTGGAACGGGAAAGTCTTCATCTGCTTCTGAAGTAAGGCAAGGGAATGAGAAAGAAGAGCCCCTGCAGACAGCACACTCCACAATGTGGCAACCGCTAGAGAGGACTCCAGAATGCCATCCTTATGTTCACATGGAAGAAAGCCTTCCCTAGCTGCTGATCAGGGCTTTGCAGAACAGTGTGGTTCCACACTGCCATTTGCGCACATCTGCAACCCTCCCCATGTTCAGGTCCTCCCCCTTTACTTGCTGGCGCCCGCGCAGAGAAGATCCGGCTAATGCAAGTAACTGGGGCCATGCAAACCAGTTAAACTGTTTATAATCCTAGCAGACTGGTCTCATATCTCAGTTTTGTAAATAGCTGCGTGCCCAGTTACCACTGTCTCGTAAAGACAGAGAGCCAGAGAACTTTTGTCATTGTTACGAGAGCTTTCGCTTCGTCCCTTTATGCCGCAAATGGCTAGCATAAGTAACGTGTGGGCGGGCTCGCCGAAATGGTTACAGCACAGAGTTGCCAACTTGGGTTTGGGAAATTTCTGGAGATTTTGGGGTAGAGCCAAGGGAATAAGGATGCCGGCTTCCAGGCAGGACCTGGGGATCCTCCAGAATTACAGCTCATCTCTAGACTACAGAGACCAGTTTTGCTGCATAAAATGGATGCTTTGGAGGGTGGAACCTATGGCATTGTACTCCACTGAGGTCCCTGTCCTCCCCAGGCTCCATCCCCAAATATCCACGAGTTTCCCAACATGGATCTGGCCACCCTATCCTCCCATCTCCCATCAGTGGACAAGGGGGACCTGGAAACCTTACTTGTGAAGGTGGGATTTAGAGAAGGGAGGGACTTCGGTGCGGTAAAATGCCATAAGTCTCATCCTCCAAAGCACATTTTTTCCCCTAAGGCAACTGATCTGTCACCCGGAGGTCAGTTGTAATTCCAGAAAATGGCCAGGCCCCACCTAGAAGTTGGCAAAATAAAGCGTAATGTTCCCTATTTAGGCAGAGATCAGATTTCAAAAGGAGAAAAGAAAATGAGGAGAGGAAAGGAAAGTTATTACAGTCTTAAAACCTGACTTGTTGAAAGTCTGCAGTTATAAGAACAAGATTTTCATTTCCTTTAGAATACCGAGAGGTGTATTCAAAACAATGCTTTTAAAGCACAGGAAATAAGGAAAGGGGAATTCAGTCAAGCCTGGAGATAAGAAACTCTCTTCAGCAGAGATAATAAAGTTTTTTATTTAGGACATTTTTATTTATTTCGATTTCTATCCCACCCTACCAGCGAACGGGCTCAGGGTGGGTTACAAGGTCCTATTTAGGCAGAGATCAGATTTCAAAAGGAGAAAAGAAAATGAGGAGAGGAAAGGAAAGTTATTACAGTCTTAAAACCTGACTTGTTGAAAGTCTGCAGTTATAAGAACAAGATTTTCATTTCCTTTAGAATACCGAGAGGTGTATTCAAAACAATGCTTTTAAAGCACAGGAAATAAGGAAAGGGGAATTCAGTCAAGCCTGGAGATAAGAAACTCTCTTCAGCAGAGATAATAAAGTTTTTTATTTAGGACATTTTTATTTATTTCGATTTCTATCCCACCCTACCAGCGAACGGGCTCAGGGTGGGTTACAAGGTCACACAAAAATCGTGACAACAATAATATGTAAGTTAAATAATTAAAAACAACATTTTAAAACAATGATAAAAGCAACAGTGTGAAAGCCTTGTTAACTATGCTCCGTTTAGGCCATTCAGAAGCCTGTGATTTCAATAGGGGAGGCCAGAGATAGGTTTTGGATGTTCTCCGCCTCAGCCAAAAGCCGGCGAAACAGCTCCATTTTACAGGCCCTGCGGAATTGTAACAAATCCCGCAGGGCTCTGATCTCAAGTGGGAGATTGCTCCACCAGGCTGGGGCCAGGGCAGTAAAGGCCCTGGCCATCTTTGAGGCTGGCCAGACATTCTTGGGGCCTGGGACAACCAGTAGACGTTGTTCAGTTAAGCGCAATGTTCTGTGGGGCACATATGGGGAGAGACAATCCCAAAGATATGCAGGCCCCTGGCTGCATAGGGCTTTGAAGGTTAATGCCAGAACCTTGAACTGGATCCAGTACTCTATCGGCAGCCAGTACAGTTGGCACAGCACTGGCTGAATGCGAGCCCACCCAGCTGTTGCTGTCAGCATACATGCTGCTGGATTCTGCACTAGCTGCAGTTTTCGGGTCAAGTTCAAGAGCAGCCCCATGTAAAGCGAGTTACAGTAATCCAGTCTGGAAGTGACCATTGCATGGATCACTGTAGCTAAGTCCCAGGAAGTGAGATAGGGAACCAGTTGCCTGACCGGCAGCAGATGACAGAAGGCCAATCAAGCAATGGCAACAACCTGAGCCTCCATCGAAAGAGAGGGATCCTGGAGCACCCCCTAAGCTTCTCACCCTCCTCAACCTCAGCACCGGCAGTGTCCCGCCGAGGGCTGGGAGCTGGATTCCAGATCTCAACTCCCCACGACTCAGGTACAGGACCTCCGCCTTTGTTGGATTCATTTTCAATCGACTCTGTTGAAGCCATCCAGTCACGGGCCTGTAGTGCCCTGTCCGATACCTCTGGGGCAGAGTCTGTCTGCCTGTCCATCCATCAGCAGATAGAGCTGGGCGTCATCAGCATATTGGTGACAACCCAGCCCATACCCCCCCGGGCTAACTGGGCGAGGGGGCACATGTAGATGATGAACAACATCGGGGAGAGGGTAGCCACTTGTGGCACCCCAAGCTTCAGTCCTGCCTTTCCTCCAAGCAGCTCAGGGTGGCCTACACTTCTCTCCCCCTCCTCCATTTTTATCCTCACAATAACCCTGTGAAGTAGGCCTACAATCACCCAAAAATCTTTATATCAGAGTAAGGATCTCAGTGTGGGATTGCCAGATCCTAGTCTGACACGAACTACTCGCCCACAGTGCCTCAATTCACAATGACCTGAAAGGATTCCGGCCTACACTTGCCCAAGATGGAACTTGCAGAACCGATGCAGTGCTAAAATGTTTTATGAGCTAGGAAAGTTATTTTTTTTAGCTACCAGCTCACTTAGCCCATTCTACCTCAAGTGCAGCACTGGCAACTGGAACAAAGAGGTAAACCGGAATCCTTCCACCAAAAGGCATAGGTAGTTCCATTTGACTAAATGCTACCTTTCTATGCACACTTACATTTGGAATAAACCCCAGTGAACTCAGTGGGACATGCTTCCAAGTAAATATGCATTGTGCTGTAATCCTAAGCATGCTTACCCTTCTTCTAAAATCTGTGAGATTTACTTCTGAGTAAGCATAGGTGTATCAGGCTCTACAGGTTGAAGGAGGAACCAAGAGAAAAAGAGAACACGTTGGATTTAAGTTCGCCCATCCTCAAAAAGGCCATCATCAAAAGGTTCACCATTAAAAGCAATATCTGAAGTGTTCAAAACACTTACTAATAAAAACAAAGCAAAACAAAGGAGGGTTCTCAAACATTACCTCTGGCCCAGCCAACGGCTATCATGACTATCCACGCATTTTTGTAGTGGCTGTGTGCATGAGTGACTCCGCCCGTTATTTTCCACGTTCTAGTTACTTCCTTCATCCCTGAAACCAACAGCCTAATAGGCAGGCAAGACACGTAGCGATAGAAAAGGTCATGTGGACAATAAAATATGAGATACCTAAAAAGAAAAGGGAAAATTAAAAAGAGTTTTAACCTTAGATACCGAAACACATTTGCTGCAGGAAGCAAAAAGGGCCCGACAAGGCGTGGCCCGATATTTGCGGAGCCGGGCAGGGAGGGAGAGGTGGCCGGATGCTGGGTGGGGGGGTCGCCAAGCGGAGGGAAAGTCAGGACTTCCCCCCTTCCCCCAGACCAATGGCAAGGTGACAGGGCAGCCAGGGGAGGGCGGTTTCAAGTGGAAGAGGCCGGCTGCTCGCCTTCCCCACCCCAGCCTTTGTCTGGCCACAGAGCTGCTTGCCCACCCATCCCACCCTTAGGTATGCCTTCAGGAACTGATAATGTATAAGGATCTATCAAAGGGGCCAAAGTGCCACCAATACTGCCTAGTTTAGAATTGTTAGCTTATTAGTGCAGTTGAATCTTGTCTATGTTTTCTTTCTCGTCACAACTGTTTGGCGGTAACAGCATGGGGCCGGATCCGTTTACAGAAATCGGCCTGCATGCCATTGCCCAGATATGGGGACCACCTTGGCATGAGTGCTGATGGGAGCAAGCCTGCTCAAGGACTACCACCGCTTGCCCTCACAACCATATGGCAGGGGAGAACACGAAGGGGCAGTCATCGGTGTGATCTCCGGCAACCTGCCATTCCGCAATCTTCACCCATGCCGGCTGACTGGGTAACGGGGCACATCGGTTGGCATGGGGCTGGCTGATGCGTTGGATCCAGTGGACCCATGCTGTGCCAATGCTTCTTACAGCTGTAATCAATAAAGTTGTGGCCAATTTATTTCCAAATCCAACATATTTCCAAATCCGTTGTGTGGTGATTTCATGCTGGGTCATAGGCATCTGGCCAAACCTCTCCATCCTACATAAGAACTGAGCAAGGGAAAACAACAGTGTAGAGCTCTTTTGGATTTTGAAATTAAGAAGAAGAAGAAGAGATTGGATTTATACCCCGCCCTTCACTACCCGAGCGGCTTATAAACTCCCTTCCCCTCCCCACCCCAAACGGACACCCTGTGAGGTAGGTGGGGCTGAGAGAGCTCTGACAGAAACTGCTCTTTTTCAAGAACAGCTCTTATCAGAACTACGGCTTGCCCAAGGTCATCCAGCCAGGTGCAAGTGGAAGAGTGGGGAATCAAACCCGGTTCTCCCAGATTAGAGTCCGCACACTTAACCACTACACCAAACTGGCTGAAATTAAGAAGTAACGTGCAGCATTATCAGGGCTGAAAGAAGTTTATATGAATTCACACTTCTGGCTTTTAAAGGAATGAATTTCAATAAATGTAACATTGCACATGCTGCTAAACAACCTTGTACACCCAAAAGCGACATTATCCTGAATATAAGACAACCCCCCTAAAAAAGATTATGTTCAAAATTATGGAAGGACTAAGCTCTTCCCTCCCAAGCCCTGCTCTTATGGCCCCAACCACAGGGGCAGCACCTCACCTTTGGAATGCTCCTCCCCTTGAGGCTCATCCGGCACCGAGTATACTCTTCCAGGCACCAGACCAAACTTTTCATTTTCCCCCAGGCTTTTAAATCAAGGGGCTGACCTTTTAAAATAATTTTTACTGTCTGCTTGAGAAAATTGTTATCAGAGTCTTAAAGCTGTTTATTCTTTATTTTGTGAGCCGCCTTGGGGAGGTTCTCTGGAAAAGCAGGGCAGAAACTTGATAAATATAGATCAATAACTTGTATGAATTTAATCCTGAGAAGACAGAGGTGATCTCCCCTGCCCTGGATTTGGTTGTACTCCTCTTGAAAAGCCAGGTCCACAGCCTGTGCTATTCAACACATCAGTTACCTTAGAAAAACCAGGTGGCTGCTGTGGTTTGAAGTGCTTTTGCTCAGCTTTAGGAGATGTACCAGCTGCACCCATTACTGACTCAGTCTGATCTAGCCACAGTGATCCATGCTTTAATTACATCTAGACTGGACTACTGCAATGGGCTCTACTTAGGGCTACCCTTGAAGAGCATTCAGAGACCACAGTGCAGAATGCTGCCGCTAGAAGTCAACTAATGAACTCCCATTCATCTTCCACTTTGAGACAGAGTAAGATGATATGATACACTGTACAAGAACAGTGCACAAGAACAGTGCACAGTCTGCCAAAGTTCCTTTGAAGAACTGAGCCCTCTTAACAAAATGCTACATGAGCCAGGTACCAGCAACAATGTGTGCTGCACACGCAGGAATTCAGAAGCTCATCAAACCATTAGGTCCTCAGCTATAGCACATTTTATCTTTTACCTAGGACAAACATTTCCAGGAACTTCTAGTCTGACTTACATTACAAGATGTCCACCGGTCAACTGTACACCCACAAGGCCTACTTTCGAGCCAGTTCTCACCAAGACTGATAATACCTCATGCTTTTGCCCTGTTTTAGTCACCAGTCCTCACCCTCACAATTTTGTTCAGAGTCCTCTAGCAGCATAAATCACAGCAGTACCTTGCCAACGCTGTGCTGCTGTATCACCAGTGACACAATTACATAACTTCAGTTAAGACTGCCACCAGTCGTTAGCCTCAATGCCACCGTTCAGTATAAAGTAATTCAGACCTTTGTCTGCTTTCCCGTTACGGTGCTCGTGAGAAGTTTCGGGAGCTCTCTCTACCCCAGAAGGTTTTTAACCATTCCTAAGTACCATTTTCTGTAACAGACAGTGACAGTGGTAGAAGGGGCTGTCAAGTCACAGCCAACTTATAGCGACCCCGTTGGGTTTCCAAGGCGAGAGACGTTCAGAGGAGGTTTGCCACTGCCTGCCTCTGTGTAGCAACCCTGCACTTCCTGGGTGGTCTCCCATCCAATAGCTGAACAGGACTGACCCTGCTCAGCTTCTGATGAGATCAGGCTGGCCTGGGCCGTCCAGGTCAGGGCAAACAGACATTGCCAGCAACTGAGCTGGTGAAACTGACCAGTTCAATAAGCTGGCACAAGTGACCCCCAATTAAGTAATATGATATAAAGTGGCCACATTTTCTAGATTCTGGACACAAGTGATATGGTACGGGGGAAAAAATGAAGTGGCCCTAATTGGAACATGTATACTTTCCTTTACTTTTCACTCTTATTTGTACAGCTCTATACATTTCTGCTGCTAAAGAAGTCTATGTCATCCTCCCTAGTATGTTCAGATTTGAAATGTCTGTTTTTAAAAATAGTTTGTGTGCATTACGCAGAATAAGCCCATATTTCTCATATCCCTTTTCTTTCTCTCAGCACTGTAATACTGATAGAAGGATGCCGCTACACCCCCCCCAAAAAAAACCCCCTCAAGCTACAATATTTTGAGGGAATGGGTTATGGAACTCAACAATATCGCAACTGCAGTGCTTGCGTAAGTGTTAAATACCATGTCTTATGTAACAAACCCCACATACACGCATTCTGCTAGCTTCCTCCCAGCGGGCTGGCTCTTTCTTGTCCTTTTCATTTCAGTGGTTGAGCCAACCACACTGTTGTATTCTAGCAAAGATGAACCCTGCTACTATTTCAGGTTGGGTAGCCAGCTCTTTTCTCGCCAGCTTCTGGTCATCTTCTGTTTCCTCCTTTGGTCTTTCCCCCCACAGAGACTCTTGGTAGGGTGATTCCTGTTCCTGCTGCTCCTTTTCTTCCAAGGCTATAGCACATATCTTTCCTCCAAGGCTATAGCACATATCTGAATGCCACTCACATATAGCTGCCCAAAAGACGGGGGGGTGGGGAGGGGGTTGGCATTCCTTCCTGAGAAGCAAAAGTCGTTGAGCTTCTCCCATCATTCTTGTGGCTCTCCACTAAGCCAAAACAAAGTTTGAGTCCAGTGGCACCTTTAAGACCAAGAAAGTTTTATTCAAGGTATAAGCTTTCGTGGGCAAGCATACTCCAAAGTTTAGATCTTGAATAAAAGTAAAACTTTCTTGGTCTTAAAGGTGCCACTGGACTCAAACTTTGTTCTGCTTCAGACCAGCACAACTACCCACGATGCCAGAAGGACAGCCATCCATGGACACCTTCTCTCAGCTTGCACAAGGGCTACGGAAAGCCCAAAGGGTTGTGCGTTTCTGCTATCCTTGGTTTTTATATATGTGCTGGTTAATTTCAGGAAGCCGTAAACCACGGTCTCTGTAAGAGTATCTTGCTTCTCCTCCCCCCATTTATTCATACATTTAAAACTCACTTGGTTTTACAAACATGGAAATCCAGTGCTTCAATCTGGCACCTGAATACTTTAACACAGTATAAGTCTCTGGCATCAACATCACAGGGCAGGGCAAAGTCTGCATAGCCTTGTGAAATCACTTTGCAATTGGAAATGGGTGTTAATGGAACACTGAAAACATACTTATTTAGACAGTTAAACTGTACTTTTCTCCCCAAGGGTGATATAAAGCAGCTTACAACATTGCCCCCCTGTTGGGTGTTACAAGTCAAACCACTTCAGTATTTACAGGGTTAATGATGTTTGTTAAGTCACATGTTTGTTTGTAACCAATCTATTTAGACAACAGAATGCCCGGGAACTTTGGAGCTAATTTGCTAGTCTGATTGGAAACCAAGTTGTCCTCCTCCCGTTCTTTGTTCTGACTGAGAAGGAGATGCCATTCCGGCTCTTCCCGTTTTACCTTTTCGCTGTAAGGATGTAGACATATTAGCTCTTTGTTATTTTCATATCCTGTGTACCTTTTCCCCATGTTGGGTTTATAGTAAACGTTTATATTTTAATACACACCATGGACTCAGTCTCTTAATACTCTGCTGACTTACTCAATAAGAATCCCAACACCACCACCCCCAACCACCTTTTGAGATCGCTTAGGCTGTGTGCCTGGTCCAAGATCGCCCAGCCAAGTTTCCATGGAGGAACAGGGATCTGAAACTGGGTCTCCCGGATCCTACTCCGACACTCTGCCTACTAGACCACACTGGCTCCATCCATGTTAACATCTAAAATGGAGAACCAGCAAATGCAAGCCCTCAGCAAAACTCAGGCCCTTTAA